TCCCCTCCCCACCGCTAGGGATTCCATTGTGCAGCCAGCCTGAGAACGGCTGGTTTAGGTCATTTTACGATGACCCATCTCTAACTGGTTACTATGAAGAAATTCCAGATGTTTGGGAGACACCTAAATTTTAAGATCAATGCCACAGAGGACAGCCACCCATTATGTTCTATTACGATGAGTCCCTTTGGGTGGATGCCAAACACAATGCCGGGTGGATGGCTGTCGGGCTGACTCAAGGTAGCATTTCCTATAGCTTACACTTAGGGATTAACTTCTGGACAAGGTTAGTTAAGCACACATACAAAAGAACTAAAAAGAAGTGAAACATCTCAACACTATGCAGACGGGAAGCAAGAATGAATGGATATTTGACTTTTTTAGAGTTTTTTCCAGGTTCATGGTTAATACAATTCTGGGTCCTGAGTGAAAAGAGCATAGATCCTTGTCTTCAGGGAGACTGATTGTAGTGCTGACCTGGAAGACTGTATACATGAGGTAGTATTTCCCATTCATCCCTTGTAGACAATGTTCTAATTATGTTGATGGCTGCCACCCATTCCCTGGAAACAAACATTTTGCTTTTGGAAGATTGCTGACATTAGGGGACAGTTTGTACCAATGGAAAAGACCCTCTGCTGTGTGCAAAAGCTACTGTTCCACGCAGGAAGCAATGGGTTGACTTCCTTGAGTCTTGGGCACCATGCTCTAACCAAATGGGCTTCCTTGTTTAGAAAAGACAGACACTACATTGACGCTATAGGAAAACCACTCTGGCAATATGCTTTACAAAAGATATTAATTACTAATTAAAAACACAAACATATAAGGCCCGGCCCGGTGGCGCAAGTGGTTAAGGGCGCGCGCTCCGCTGCGGCGCCCCGGGGTTCGCTGGTTCGGATCCCGAGTGCGCACCGACGCACTGCTTGGCAAGCCATGCTGTGGTGGCGTCCCATATAAAGTGGAGGAAGATGGGCATGGATGTTAGCCCATGGCCAGTCTTCCTCAGCAAAAAAGATCGGCTCAGGGCCGATCTTCCTCACACACACAAAAAAAAGACCACAAACATATATGTTAACATTTCACTAGTTTGAAAAGCAAACGCTCATGTCTAGGTCCCTTTGGTTATTCCCTAAGATGGAGTGGGGGTGGTATCTGTAGTGTGCACACAGGGAGTGTCCCTGCTCCACAGCGCCTTTAAAGGAGGCTAGGCGTTGGGAGTCTGTGGCCCCTGGTATGTCTATTTTTCTTTTTCCAGCAGGTCTATTTTTAAAAACCTTGGCACTCAGACTAGGTTGCCTATCATCTGGCCTCCCAAAGAAACCCAATGAAGTCACAATTTGCAAACAAGAGGAATGGGCCTGAATCATCCTACCTCTATTAAGAAGTAAGATCACACACACACACACAGAGTAAGGAAAGTCCATCACAATTGGAGGGGTGCGGTTGCCGTCCCAAATATAAATAATATACGAGAAAAAGCGATTTTCCAGAATGTTTGTTCACCAAACATTTAGATCCATGTAAGAGGTGTTCCAGGAAAACAATGAGAAGGGCCAGAATTAATTGGCTGCTAAGCTCTTTACTCTTCGTAGGATGTTGCCTCCAGCAGTGGATTAAAGCAATGTTCATGCTGTACAGGCTCGGGTGTGTCCATATTAGGAAAGCCCTAGCTCACATCTCTCTCTGTGAAAAAGGATCTGTCCTCCCTCCCTCTGCTCTGCTTCCACCCGTGTGTGTGCAGGTGGGAGAGCAGGAGCCGGGGAATGTGAACCTGATCCAGCACTGATCAGCCAACCAGCAAACTTCATTGTTCTTTAGATACCAAACATAACTTCTTTCTATTAGGGATAAACCCAGCCATTCTGCAAACAACACAGCTTTTGTGCTCAGTAGTATGAGATGGAAAAGAATCACAAAGAACATGAGAGCTTTATTAAACTCGTCATAAACACCTCCTAATATGCAGAATTTAAGAATCCACCCAGTTAATTTATATTCATATTAATAATAGGTATAATAGTATAATCTTATAATCTCTTAGCCCTAACAATCTTCTGGTTATTTGATTTTTTATAATTATGAATTTCAATTTATAGTGTAAATACTAAGGTCTGTTTTAGCTTTGCCTTCTATTTGAGCATTTCTTTTGCCACTGCCCTGCTCTCTGAGGTTCAAGGGCATTGGAAACCATGCTAATGTACAACCAAATGTGCTGCTGCTGTTTTTAAGTGCTGTCTTATGAATGTGGCTTAACTATCTCTATACAAAGCCATGTGTAATGGGAAATCCACATTGAATAATTAGATTTAGGCACCCTCTGTCCTTGCCTAGAAGCTACGTGACCTTGGGCATGTCACACATCGTCCTTGAGCCTATGAAATGTAGATAATGCCATCTGCCTTGCAGAGCCCTGGTGAAGATGAAATGAGATGGCGCATAAAGCAAGAGGCACAAAGTAGACCAATAAATGCTAATTCCCTTCCTCTTTCCCCTCAGAAACAAAAGCCCGTCTGGTATTTTGAACCTAACTAAACTTTCAAAGGTCTCAAAATAACTGAGTTGTGACATGATAATAAAAAGCCCCACCTGACCACCACACAGAATCGATGCCACTGGATGGAGCCTGCAGAGATATGACACGTCTGAGTCACTGCAAACAAGTACCTGTCCCTTCCCTGTGGACACGAGGAACCAAGTTCTCTTTCTTGTATGTCTTATTATAAAGGAGATCCTTTTCTGTCTGGTCCCATCTCACTCAAAACAATAAGCCCACTGTTGTTACAAAAAGATCACAAAATGAAATTTGATATTTCTACTTTGTTCTCTGAAGGTACCAGCAGGACCAGGTGCTAGATCCAAAACCCCCTAAAATCCTAATAGTAGCTACATGTATTTAAAGCCAATGTAATAATTAAGAACTTGGACTTTTAATTTAGACAGATTTGCTTCTCAGTTTCCTCATCTATAAAATGGGTATAATAATATCTATCTTACAGAGCTGTGACTAGAAGAAGTAAATAGCTATAAGTGTAATGCACTTAGCATTGACCCTACTCAATAAAATGATAGCCTTTTTTTCATTCTGGATGTTTTAATATGTAAAATAGTATACCCCAGTATACTTGGAGGAGAGAGAGAAGGATTAAATAAAAGATACAATTCTAAGAGAGTTACACAACCTATATATTCTTGGATTTACCCATTTACAGCTTCATTCACTAGATGCATCTATGCAAAACCCAGGCAGACATCCCTCAATTACAAAATCAATGACGGTGATGAAGAAATACAATTTGAGGAGGAAAGACCCAGTAAGAACTCAGGAGAAGCCGACTTTGTAACAAATGCAACTAAGAAGAGTCTTAAAGAGAACGTACATCTTTGCTTGGCCGCACGGAACATGAAAAGCAATGGCACACACAACTGAGGAGAAAGGAAGAGAACACCAAGAGAAAGGAGATGGAGCACTTGGAGAAAAGGCCAGAGGAGCCACTGGACAGGAGAGGCGACTTCTCCCCCTGGAAAGAGGCCACAGGACAGCAGGCCTTCTCCCCGGTGCAGTCCCCTCATCCCTCGGTGCCCTGGAGTCTCAGTCCCCAATGTTGATGCACTGACTCTGGCCTCCTCTCTATGCATTTTCATGCCAATCAAGCTGCTGAAATTAAGAACTGAATTGTGAAGCTTTTGGCATAAATAATGTCATATTGTAAAGCTAATAACAACCAGGACGCCCTTAAGACTCTTAAGAAAAACCATCTGATCTATGTAGCCCTCGACGTGGTTTGAAATTTCCCTCGGCCTACAAATGAAAATATTTTTAGCATGTAGCACACTTTGTAACAGACATATAAATGCACTGAAAATATAATTTTAGGAAAACATCTGGGTTTGATTATTTCTTGTTATACTTCAACACCAAATAGGTTCTACTTTCTCAATAATAAGGAACACTGCAACATTCTGCTACAAGCTATGCAGCCATCACTGTGGCAATTTCTCATAAACATTTCATTACTGGCTCTGTTTGTTTTTAATTTTTAAAGCAGCAAATACTCCAATGATTTAAATATAAAAGCAGCAGCGTTATTCACAATAGCCAAGACTTGGAAGCAACCTAAGTGCCCGTCAAGGGACGAATGGATAAAGAAGCTGTGGTATATATACACAATGGAATACTACTCAGCCATAAGAAATGATGAAATCCAGGCATTTGTGACATCATGGATGGACATTGAGGGTATAATGCAAAGTGAAATAAGTCAGAGGGAGACGGTCAAATACCGTATGATTTCCTTCATTAAGTAGTAGATAATAACAACAATAAACAAACACATAGGGACAGAGATTGGATTGGTGGTTACCAGAGGGGAAGGGGGGAGGGAGGAGGGTGAAAGGGATAATTCGGTACATGTGTGTGGTGATGGGTTGTAATTAGTATTTTGGTGGTGAACATGATGTAATCTATGCAGAAATAGAAGTATAATGATGTACACCTGAAATTTTTACAATGTTATAAACCAATGTTACTGCAATAAACAAAAAATTAAAAAAAAAAGAGAGATCATGAAATAAATAAATAAATAAATATAAAAGCAGCATAAAAAATAAGGTGCTCCTTCTGGAGCATTTGGCCATAATGTTTTCCCCTCCTTCAAAAGGCAACATAGAACTCACTGGACGTTTTTCTCCAAAGTCATTTAGGCAACAGACATAAAGAAGTACTTATTTTTATGTCTCAAAATGTATGCTAGAAATAATACTTGCCACTGTACAAGGTAAAACTCACCTGCAGTTTTTATTGATCTGCAGGAATTTCAAGATATTAACAACCCTAGCAAAATGTTTTTCATCTCCTGCTGGTCAAATCTGTTAATATCTGTGAATAATTGATTTGAATTAGAAGCAAATGCCTATTCTTTGTGTGTGTGTGTGTGTGAGAGGAAGATCAGCCCTGAGCTAACATCCATGCTAATTCTCCTCTTTTTGCTGAGGTAGACCGGCTCTGCGCTAACATCTATTGCCAATCCTCCTTTCCCCCCCGCACCCCAAAGCCCCAGTAGATAGTTGTATGTCATAGTTGCACATCCTTCTAGTTGCTGTATGTGCGACTCGCCTCAGCATGGCCGGAGAAGCGTTGCGTCGGTGCGCGCCTGGGATCCGAACCCGGGCCACCAGTAGCGGAGCGCGCGCACTTAACCGCTAAGCCACGAGGCCGGCCCAGCAAATGCCTATTCTTCAATGATCAACGAGCATAAATGCTCTTGTAGATTGACTATTACTTAAGATTTCTCTCAATAATCTTTCAAATAGCAATTTTCCAGTGGGAAAGAAAAGAAATGCACAAAGAGGGTTTCTTGGTAGTGTATATTTGTAAAACACCACTCAGGATGAAAACTCTCCCAATACCACTCCAAACTAAGGGCAAGTTTTCAGTCTGAGGGAAATTCAGCAGACTCCCAGGAGGAAAGGAAGACACTTGGAGGAAAAGTAAACTCTAACTCTCCTCCTCTCAGATGTGACCGGGTACACTTGGAGCTCAGGCCTCAGTGAGGTACCAGGCACAGCATGTAGTGACTGAGGTGCAAAGCAGCCTTCACCCAAGCCAGCTCCCCTCATTCCCCAAAGAAGCAGCGAGGACTCAGAGAAGGCAAGTGGCTCGCCCACAGCCACACAGCTTAATGGTATAGGGCTGCCTCCAAAGTTGCATCTTATGTCTCAATTGTCTCTTTCCTCCAATGTAGGATTAAGCTTGCAGAACAAAGCTTCATTGCAGCACGCTCTGTGAATACACAAATTTGGATATAACATAATTGACTCTCTTCCTCCACCATCCTCCACTCTTGCTCATTAACCTCAAAATAATGCAGACTTGCATTTTATGCATCAAATTGTCCGGACCCCACTTAAGAGTGTGATGGTGGTGGTTATAACGAGACAGGATCAGAAGCAGAAAACCCTGAGCTTGTAAAGGCCCAAGCTAGAGGACTGACCTGGAAGGATGGAGTCTTCTGCTGAATGAGCTGAACACACTCATTACCGAGCACCAATAAATCATGGACAGAGATATGTGTGTGACAGGAACGCTGTCCTTTTTAAGCACACACTTGGATTTGGGCAGTTTGACAATCACTGACTGTCACCCTGACCTGTGATACACTTGCTGGCTGGCTGCCACCATGCTGTGTCCCTGCCACTCTCCCACTCTGGGTCAGCAGAGCGGACAAAATGAGGGCAAAGCCAGGGATCCTAGTTGGAGTTTGCTTTTGAAAGCAAATAAGAGGATATGGGAAACATCCCTTAAATGCTGTAGAAGGTACATAAAGACACTTTTTTGTTTGACCCATTGCTTTTTCTCATTTGTTGTTTTGGTGACCTGGTATTTATCATCTAATTTAGTTTCCATCTCAAAGAAGGAATAGCTGTATCTTTCCAAAGGCAAAGACCTAAACTAATCTCTACACACACTCACATTCATTCACACCAAAAAAGATACCAGTTCTTCAGTGCAATAAAGCCCAGTATTTCCTATGCAAAATATTCTGTCAGCTACACAGGGTGACCATTTAGAAACATCTAAATGGAGAGGTATGTGTACACCCATGACATATATTTATGAAAAGCCCTGGAAAGTGAGGTTCACAGTACTGCACTCGCTGTGCACATTGTTGCCCACTAAAGAATAGGAAAGAACAGTTCCAAGAAAAGAAGCAGTCATTAATTAAATTAAAAATCACCACTGCTCAGGGCTCTCTGCTGTATTCACTTACTAACTATTCATAGGTTTTGTAAAAACTAAGGCAACGATGGGACCAAGCTGATTTGGATTAAAAGCAACCTTGCTGAAAATACAAAATTTTTTAGTCGGATGGACTGAGGACCGAGGGTCCTGGATCCGAGCCCTGGCTCTGCCACTAACGAGGGCTTCAAGCTTGGGCAAATCAGTACACCCCTCCTGGGGCACAGCTCCCCAAAAGATGAGCTCTCCTTCAAGAGTCACTCCTAGCCTAGGAGTATAAAGCAGACCGAAAGTCATGCAATGCCAGAAAAGACTAATATTTAAGCATGAAGCAATAGAGGCCACACCCAAGAAATATATACAAAGTAGATATTAAACATACATCTATTTTGTACAACATAATGGCTCTCCACAAAAGAGAAAGAAAAAAGTCTTGTATTCTAAAAGCAGCCAAGTGTTCCTGAGAGCTTTCCTCGTCAGCAGGTGCTCTGGCGATGACACTGGCACAAGTCATGAGTGTTGTGGATGGCCACCGTCAGAGGAGCTGCCCAGAGGCCTGGGATGCTGATCTGAACATCAGTGTGTGCAACAATGCTGTGCAATGTCAAAGAGCCAAGGGGGCCAGCGTGTGTGGGAGAAGAGCATAATGCAAATATAGAATAATCTGCCTTCAATGAAGAACCTACCAGACTATGTCCTCAGCCTAATAAAAGAGAGATTGGGGGGTAGTTCTTCTTAAAAAGTAGAATTGGATGTTTCTGTACTGACATAAAGGTTTACAATCTGAAGCTGATATCTTTGTCTTAATTCTTTGAGTTTACATTGCTCCTTCTTTCTAAAGATTTCTCTCCGTGAAATAGAAAAAGCACCGTTATGATGAAATCCTATTAAATGGTACACTCTATGAGAGTTGCAATGTCCTTACTTAAGTGAATCTGTGGGTTCAATATGTATGAACCTACAAAACAGGTAATGCCCGTATGTCCAAACATGGCTCCCCAGACTTTGCTCCTTGAGGACAATCACACCGGCTCCCTTGCACAAGGAGCTGGCCAACTTGTGACCAAGTGGGGCATAGCCAAGTCTCCAGCCACCAAGCATGTTGTCTTCTAATAGACTCAGTCTCCTGGATGAGCGGGGCAAATACAGAAGTCAACTCCACGGGTCCTCCCAGGTCCTGACTCAGGGCAGAGGCTCCTTGTGGGCGCTGGTTTACAGATGCCGCCACAGACTGTGCGCCCATGGGCAGGGGCTGTGCCCTTTCAGCTTTGTATGCCCACTGCCCAGCACAATGCTTGGCATATTGGTTGAACAAATAAACTAAACCACAAAGCCAAATATTTGGAGTTGCAGGAAGAACATAAAATTGAAGGACTCTAAGAGTTTAGATTGTACTCAGCAAAAAAGGAAACTTCTTTTCATAGAATATATTCCAGAATATGACATAATTATAGATTCTATCAGTTGGTCCTAGCCCTGCTTATGAAGATCCTCATTCAGTGGGTGTGGCCTGAGTCGGGGATCTATAGTTTTAAACAGTTTCCTGAATGATTCTGATAATCAGGTCTTGGCATAAATGGACTAGGTGGATCTAAGGGCTTCTAACTCAAGCCTGCAAAGCTATGCTTCTAGAAAGTACCCAGCTTTATCTCTTTATTAAAACCCATGTATGCACAGGTCACTACTAACTGTCTCCATCAACTGGACTGAGCCAAACAGACTTTTCAAAGCTAGTGACTCCTACTTCTTTTTCCTTCTGGTTCAAAAGGCAGAAGAGCAGGTCTATCCTTAGTCCACCAAGCAAATATTGGATTTCTCTCCACAGTGTCACACCCTGGATGCATCTGTGGCCATCTGGGCCACTTCAGAATCTCTATACTTTTTAAAGAAAAAAGTTCTGAAATGCTTTTTATTCACCTGAAAAAGCCATTCTCATATGCCTTCCTCTGAGTTCACTTTAAAAATACACGTTCATGGGCCGGCCCCATGGCTTAGTGGTTAAGTGCGCGGACTCCGCTGCTGGCGGCCCGGGTTCAGATCCCCGGCGCGCACCAACGTACCGCTTCTCCGGCCATGCTGAGGCCACGTCCCACATACAGCAACTAGAAGGATGTGCAGCTATGATATACAACTATCTACTGGGTCTTTGGGGGGGAAATAAATAAATAAATAAAATCTTTAAAAAAAAAAAATAATAATACACGTTCAATCTGAGATCCCGAAGGATGCAGGCCTCAGTCCTGGTCAGTTTCCTCAGTGTTTTCCCCATCACTTAGCAGGATTCGGGCACATCATCTGCATTACATGAATTGGAGCTTGTTTCACGTGGCTTCCTACTTAGTTCTTTGAGGGCACCTGTAGATGTGCCTCAGCCCATTGCATGTGTTGTGGGGAGACACCACTGGCCATCCTGGTATTTAATGATGCTTTTTAAAAGTATTCATGTAAATGAATAGCTTCTGGTCATGAAAGTTCAAAGTCGAAAACCAAAGAGCACAAGTCTCGCTAACTGTTCCTCTCACTCCATGAGACTCCCTAGTACCCGGGCAGAGGGGAAACGCTTGGCCTTGCATGCAGCGAGTTTTCTTTCCAGCAAGGGTGCTGGCCCACCTGCCCAGTATCTAAGTGCCACTCAAGTACTAGCACTCTTTCCACAGCCTGTGGCTCCTGAATCTTGAGGGAGCTCTCCCTGTGAAGTCTGGCTGTGTCCTGCCTTACTAAGCAATCCCCTTTGCAGAACCTGCTCTCTCTGCAAAGCAGGCAACATTAAACTCGTTCCTAATGAGAGAAAGGGAGGGGGAAAGATCACTCCTCCAAACCGTGGTCAAAATGCATCCACCTGATGTATTTTATCACTATAAACAATTCACTCACCCTTTTATTATTCAGGGCAGAATGGCCTAGGTCAGAGTGTGACAGGGGCCAGGGCTGAGAAGGGAGCTGAGAGGGAGAGAGAGCTCACTGGGAGGGTTCTTTCCCCCACCCCTCCCACTGGGAAGCTGCCTCCATTCTGCTGGTCTTGGGGCACTACCCACTGAGCCTTAATCACGCTGATGACAAACTAATTCATCAGCCCCCATCACTGAGATTTGACTTTACCTGATGCTGCTGAAACATGCATACTCAGTTTTCCACCACCAGAAGTCGATTGTCTCTCCTCCTGCCTATAATGCAGTCTCCTCTACCTGTCTTTCAAAGTTGACTTCAAATGGTACCTCAACCCAGTCTGCTTCCACAAATGGAAAATCACCTCTTTCTTCTGAACTCTAAAAGTTAGTTAATTTTCACCACTCATTGCTTTCTGCCTCAGGTCAGATTTTTGTGAATCTATTTTTCCTAGTGAATTATCAAACATCTTGAGGGCAAAGCCTGTGTTTCTCTCATCTTTGAGTCATCCACAGTCCCTCATAAAGGACAGATGTACAGGCTATATTCACGGAAAGAAGAGAAGGGGCAGGGAGGGAAGGCACTGGACTAGGAGGTATGATTTCAGATCCTCAAAGAAGCTTCCTCTTGCAAATCTCATCCGTCTGGTCTGGGATGCTTGACAGTTCTATAGAAGCTTAAGCTCTGACACAGTTAAAAAGGAAATCTCCAAGGGAGAGGAAACACTTTTAATCCTTATTATTCAATTGGAGTCTAGTCTTAGACTACTGTGAATGAGATTCAAATCCTTTCTGGAAATCAGGTTTTGAAAGGGAGAGAAAAGAAGGAAGGACATAGAGCTTTCATTTGGGACACCAAAGGAAAATGTCTCCTGTTTCATCATGGTGCCTTATGCTGTGAAGAGATCAATACAGTTGGACAGTGTCAAATCAGATGCCCCCAATAATACACAACGCCCAGCACAGACCTTCAGTTACCTACTACTCTCTGGGAGGACGGACCCTTCCTTCCCACATTTCTCTCTCTCTCACTCCACCAGAGACTTTTAATTTTTGTGGACTAGACACTAATGTCATTTGGGACCAAAACAATTATACCAAAAGCATATTCATTCATAGGGGAATAAAATATAGTGAGGTTGACTCGAGTGATTTTTATTGGCCATTTTGAAGGGATTCACAAGAAATACGGAACTAATCAGAGATGTATTGGGAATAAGCAATGTTATGGGCTGAATCTGTTCCCCCCAAATTCATATGTTGATGTCCTAACCCCCAGAACCTCAGAATGTGACTGTATTGGAGACAGGGCCTTTAAAGAGGTGATTAAGGCAAAATGAGATCACGTAGGTGGGCCCTCATCCAATCTGACTAGTGTCCTTATAAGAAGAGGAGAGTAGGACAGAGATTTCTACGTACAGAGAGGAAAGACTATGTGAGGACACAGCGAGAAGGTGGCCATCCGCAAGCCAAGGAGAGAGGCCTCAGGAGAAATCAAACCTGCCCATACCTTGATCTTGGACTTTCAGCCTCCAAATCTGTGAGACAATAAATGTCTGTTGGTGAAGTCACCCAGTCCGTGGTATTTTGTTATGGCTGCCCAAGCTAACTAAAACGAGCGTGAAGCCACAGATGCCAAAAATAAAGGCAATTAGGCTAAAAATGAAAGGGTTTTAATAAAATCTCTCCCTGTCTCTTGTGGCTGCCAAGCAGTGTATCACTTTGAGGAGTCTGTGGGAAGGGCCAGGCTCTTCGATGAACAGTAAGTGACCGTGGTAACTCATTGACACTGCAGGCTCTGTCAATGTCTCTGAGACATTGAGACTAGAGAACCTAGTCAATGTATCTCTAAGGGTCCCTGACAAGATGGTTAGTCACTTAGAAAATATGAGTCAAACCACTGGACAGCAAATGACAGCAAAATTATTAGGAGCCCAAAAAGCACACCACATTATGGCAACTGCTATTACTGATATAAAAGAACCAAGGATCTCACGGCACATGTAATTTGAAAAATATAATTTCTCTGGTATTTGCAAAATAATCAGTCTCATGACCATTAAATGTAGAATTCTTATAGACACCACTGAGATTGAGTATCCTAATGGGTCTTCAAGTTATGTTGATAATACTATATGATCTGTGTTAAAAGAGGCCTACAAATTATTCCCCTAATAAACCACCTGGCTTTCTCTGTGCTAAAAGCACATCGTGGCTCCAATGACAAAGTCTCTTGCATCATATCCCACCAACTTTCCTCAATTTTGTGTCTGCAGCCTCTTCCCTACAAGAGTTAAGTTTTCCATTACTTGCGTGTGTGGCCTTTGGCAACCTGCAAGTGTTTGCTTGGAAAGAAGTGGCATTTTCCAAGATGACACAACAATCTGCTGTTCTATATTCCGGGAGCAAGCCTGGGAGCTTGAGTTGATTCCTGCCTATTTCTGGGACACTATGTGATGGGCCATTTCTCATCTTCTCTACCTTCATTGCTGCCACTGCTGCCCATGATTTTGCCACTTAACATCTGCTGAGCACTTCCGCCAAAGAGGAGACAAAGCCACAGAAGGGCTGAGGGGTTCACGGGTGTCAGTGTGCCACTCGTTAGTACCTCGGGAAACAGGTTGCCTGGGAATTGAAATTGAGAGCTGAAGTGAGGCTGGTAATTAGTTCATGCCCTTCTGAATGCCTACTGCAAACAAGCAGTCCATCCATGGATTATAATCATCAGTGCTGTCACAGCAGATTGAAGGGCCTCTACGGATTGCCCAGCTGTATCTTTATCCATACATTTGACAAAAATACAGATGATTTCAATAATATCTATTCAGTGAAGGATTTTAAGGCATTATACACTCAGATTTTAATTCGAATTAAATAGCTTTAGAGCAGCACTGTTCAATAGAAATACATGTAAGCCATATCTGTCATTTAAAATTTTCTAGTTGCCACATTTAAAAAGTGAGATGTAACAGCTAAAATTAATTTTAATAATATATTTTATTGGGTATATATACATTGGATTATGATGTCTCCAAAATATTATCATTTCAACGTGTAACCAATATTTTAAAAACCATCAATGAGATATTTTACCTTTATTTTTTTGTATTAAGTCTTCTAGATTTGATGTGTTTTTATAGTCCATCTCAATTTGGATGCTAAATTTTAATCAGAAACGCTAGGTCTGTATTTAGATTTCATAAGATTTACAGCTGAAAAAGTGGATTCATTCACATACCCAAGTTGTTCCAAACAATAACTGAATTATTAGATTTAAAATTTAAATTCTGATTACATTAAAAAAATCAGCTCTTCAGGTGCACTAGATATTTTTCAAGTGCTGAATAACCCCGGGTGGCTGGTACCAACTGCACTGGACAGTGAGGCCCTGAGCGTCTACTATGTGCATCATAGCAGGCAGGACCAGGATGAGTCAGACGCAACCCTTGTTTCCTTGGGTAGAGGAGGGAATGTATGAGACACATATACAAATAGCAACACTACAAGGCAGGTTAGGATACTTGCTAAATTCCAAGGAGAGAAAACGGCATGCACAAAGGAGGGCTGGTGGTAAAGCTCACAAATATTTGGAGACTGGTAATTATGGTTGGGCATATGCTTAGGAGTGGTAGGAGTTCAAGTTTAAAACGGTAGCTTGGGGCAGTTCTGCTGATAGCCTCAAATAGCAGGCCAAAGAGTTTGTTCTAAATGCATTGTTAATGGGAAAAAAGTTTCTGGTGAGAATGGATCTGAGCTGTGTTTTAGGAAGATTCACTTAGGACAGATGTGGATGATGGATGGAAAGTGGGACAGCTTCGCAGCTAAAAGACCAACTAGCTACTGCCTAGTCCAAGCAAAATATAATGAAAATATGGAGGAGGTGCTAGGAAAGAAAATTAGAAATTTAATAAATATGTACATAGGCTATCAGGACTTGACAACATGGTCAGGAAATCAAACAAAGGGAGGAGTCAGAGAGTTCTGTAGCAACCAAAATAAGAAAGTATAGAAGAAAGGCTGAGTGGGGAAAAGTTATTTCTAATGTATTTGCATATGTCTGTCTTAAAAGAAGATTGGAATCTAAGTACATACGGGCTGGTGGGGGGGAGACCTTTGGGCAGACATGAAAAGAAATCAAAATCTATGTATAGAACTGTCAAATTAGCGAATGGGCAACTTTCTTAGAAATAATGTATACTATTCTAATAGTAGGGGGTGGGGTGTGAGTAAATTAAATTATGGTACAGTTAGCCCTCGTATCAATGGGTTCCAAATTCAACAAACCACGGATCAAAAGGCCTACAATGGTTGTGTCTGTACTGAATATGTACAGACTTTCTTTTCCTTGTCATTATTCCCTAAACCATACAGCATAACAACTATGTACACAGCATTTACATTGTATTAGGTATTATAAATAATCGAGAGATGATTTAAAGTATATGGGAAGATGTGCATAGGTTACATGCAAATACTATACCACTTTATATAGAGGACTTGAGCATCTTTGAATTTTGGTATCCTCATGGTCCTGGAACCAATCCCCCCACGATACCGAGGGAGGATGTACTATTCGTTAGAAAGCTATGTAGGGGCCGGCCAGGTGGCGCAAGCGGTTAAGTGTGCGTACTCCACTACAGCGGCCCGGGGCTGGCCGGTTCGGATCCCGGGCACGCACCAACGCACCGCTTGTCAGACCATGCTGTGGCGGCATCCCATATAAAGTGGAGGAAGATGGGCACCGATGTTAGCCCAGGGCCAGTCTTCCTCAGCAAAAAAGAGGAGGATTGGAGGGGATTGGCAGATGTTAGCACAGGGCTGATCTCTTCACAAAAAAAAAAAAGCTATGCAGCTACTAAAAATTATTGCTCTTGAATTATATCAAGGAATAAGGGAAACTGCTTAAGACATATTTTTAAATGAAAACTTTAAGTTTAGATAATAAGATTAAAATTTGGTTTAAAAAGAATATGCACCTATATGCTCTAGAGCACGGAAAATGTGTGGAGGGACACATACCAAGCTGTTACCTAGCATGGATTACCTCTGGGCAGTACACTGAAGGCAGCAAGAGCTTTGATGTTTTACATTTTGCTGTTGCTTGAACTTCCTACAGAGAACATACTATTTTTATTTTTAAAAAGGAAGACAAAGAAAAGGGTGAACTACATATTCATACATCCAGAATGACCGAAAGGATTTATATCAAAAAATTATCTCTGGGTCATTTTCTTATTGCAAACTTTTTTATATTCCAAAATAAATATGTAATACTTCTGTAATCAGAAAAAAGTCATAAAAGGAAATAATCTATAATACCAATGATATAATCAATTTTAAATCTGTTTGCAAAGTCAAAGGTTATAGGGTTGAATGTTCTTTAAAGAGGCTTGGATCCAATTTCTTTTACTTCTTTGGGACTCGTGCTTACTTTTATTGCTGCTGAAGCTATTTCCACATTTTTTTTTTAAGGATTTCCATTCAGTGTGGCCAAAAAGGAAAATGGAGGCCAACCACAAGACAAGCCTTCCTGAGAGAAGACAAAAAGCCTCTGTACCCTGCAGAACGAAAACTTCACCAGGAGAACGCGACTCTTTTGTCATGACTGACTTCAATTGTTGGTGGACAGAAATTTTGAACGAGAACAAAGAGCACTGGAGTGACTTCGGCGCTCTGGTCGTCATTCCAGGCCAAGCACATAGTAACTTTATATTATAATGATGGGGACAAAGAACAAGGTGTCCCATTCACCACAAGCCTCCTGCAGCCAGAGGGTCCCAGGCCTTGGCAGAGCCTTTCACTGAAGTGGAAAGAAGGAACTTTCAAGGAGTGTGAAAGGGCTGTGAGCAAGTAAATCATCATCAACCATATAAACAATGGCAGAAATGGGTAAAGAGATGAAAAGATGCCGTCGGATCATTCACCAATGGAAAGATGTGCACTAAATCAGGGTCTTTTCTGTCTGACACTGTTGTTTTTACTGAACAGTTAAGCACCCAAGGAAATACCAGTTGGATCTTCAAGACAATTTATAGCTGGGTTGGCCTCCTTGCACCTGGCTGTGTTTTGACAGCAGGTTTCGTCAGTTTATAGCAGAGATTCTTGTCTACACTATAAGCTGTCACTAATGCAACTAGACCTTTGGAAAAAATGTATGCTCAGAGGCAAATCTCTCCCTTCCACGTCCCCCTCCCCCTTTTAATGAAAAGCAAAAGCCTCCTGCTGGTGGCAAAGCCTCGTTCTCTTCAGGGGAGACACTGAGCCTCCTGGGAGTGAGAGGGTCAGCCCCAGGACTGCAACTCAAGCGGGGTGAGCCTGCTTCTGGGCACTCAATTAAGGACTTTTTCTTTTCTCTTCCCTCGGGGATAATTGCTGAACAAAGCGACCTTGTTGTTTGGAGCAGGAAATTCGGGATTCTGCTCCCTGAACTCCCAACACTTCCCAGCTTCCAGGCCACGCTACCAATGTCTGGGGGCCTCGCAACAGCCTTGCCTAGGAACACAAGGCAGACAGGTTCAGCAGATGCCCCTCAGCCTCACCTAAAACAAGAAGGGCAAAGCTTGGCTATTTACAATCAGACAAACCTTTGTTTTCCTGAGGTTTTTGTACTCAGCCAGCGGCCTGGTTTGGAAGCCACCATCTTAGAAATCCCAGGACCTCGTTATAATATATATGAGTTGAAAGCCCTGCCTCCCATGACCAGGTGCTGCCTTACCCCACTCAGTTTGTTTTGCTTTTTTAGGACTCAAGATTTTATTCTTTCTTGTTCCCAGAAGGATTAGGCCAAACAAATAACTTTTAACAGGTGATACACATTCCTGAACCAAAGGTAATGTGTCCTTTTCAGGAATGAGCTCATGGTGGCTAGTGGCCGACATTTTCCCCTGTGTGGTAGAACAGACCAAAGATGTGAGTAGAGGGATGAAAAGGTAATGGAGAACAGCCCCTTCTGTTCCTTAATTTCATGGTTCACAGACATTCATTGACATTCAGACACTCCCAAGGGGAAGCTCATATAACCAGCCATTAAACCAGAAATGAGCAGGCTAACGGGACTGCTTGCCTGGGCCCAGGGCAGAATTTCTCACCACCTGGGGGTCCACTCCCAGACATTAGGGCCCACTATGATGGGTCTGTAGCTGTTCCAGGGGCCAGCCCAGACCAGGGAAGCTCCATGCCTGCAGGGTCCTTTGACCAGGCCCATCGGGAATGCCACCCTTGGACTTCTCAGAGCCCAGGCTCTAGCTAGGTCAGCACTCAGGCTGGTGAGGGGGCTGGGGCTGCCTGTAAGGCTCTGGGAAGCACAGGACCCAGGGAGAGTGAAGGGGAGAAGAGGCTCCAGGCCAGGTGATTCCCACAGAGTTAGAGCTGTCTGGGAACCTTCTCTCCCTCAGAGTTGCCCATGAGCTGAAAGGGAGGGAGAGAGTAAAACCTTCATTAGGAGTGGGTCCTGGTCCCTAAGAGAGAGAAATGAATCTACTGGCTCATTCAGATGAGAAGACCAACCTGAGGCAAGGATGCAGAAGCAGAGGAGGAAGGTGAGGGACAGCTGCACCGGGGAAATGATGGAGAAACTATGGGTCCCACAGGTCAGAAGAAAGCTGCAGGCAAGCCACTCACTCAGCTGGTTGTATCCAAAGAGCAGAGCTGGAGGCCAGCTGCTCAACCCACTGGGGGCACTGAACTGTTGCTTGGTGACACCACCCAAAATATACATGACGCTTTGCACGACCTCATCTAATACACAGTTCAGGGTCAACCAGCATGTCCACCTATACCACTAGGTCACTTGAAGCAGAAGCCAGACACATCCATGATGGCAAGCTCAAAGGGGTGTGAGGTCATCATTTTCCTGACTTAGGGATACTCCAACTCAGTAAGATGATTACATATACATACACATATATCTCATTGTCGTGATTGATAGACTAAGCGGCAAGCTTTACTATTCTCCACAGACTCTCCTGAAGCAGTTATCTTGAGCGCACCTGTGGTATTCCAGAACTCTCAAGCCAGTCTCGGAAGATGTTTTCAACAGACAAGTCAAGCCTTTAAAAATAAAACAACAACAAAAAGTAAAAGATTAAAAAGTTACAGCGCACTTATTACACAGAATGGTCCTCTAACTATTCGGGCACATCCCAGCATGGATCTCTCAGAGAAGCACCTCATCTTTGGAGGAAGAGCAAGGCTGCCCCAGGTTACAGTGTAGAAAGGGGCCTAGTCACTCAGGACAGCTTCTCTTCAGCCATAAGATGAAATCTAAAAATCAGAGGCACACCATGATCTGTGCTTTTTTTTTTTGGTGAGGAAGATTGGCCCTAAGCTAACATCTGTTGCCAGTCTTCCTCTTTTTGCTTGAGGAACACTGTCCCTGAGCTAACATCTGTGCCAATCTTCCTATATTTTGTATGTGGGACGCCACCACAGCACTGCTTGATGAGCAGTGTGTAGGTCCACGGCTGGGATCTGAACCAGTGAACCCCGGGCCACCAAAGTGGAGCACGTGAACCCAACTACTATGCCACCGGGCCAGACTCCATAATTGGTGCTTTTACTGCTTGGAGAGGAACATTTTGGTCGACAGCACCAATTTAGGGAAGACAGGGCAAGTTCATAGGACACATCAGATGTGACTGCTTCCTGGAGAGCAGGGAGCAAAGTGAAATCTGAGCATTACAGTACTTAAAGTATAAAAATGAAATTCGAACTTCATAGTGATGATGGGCTACAACAAGCATAAACAATACAGATCATTCTCAGAGCACACAGAGGCTCAGCTGCATGGACCATGTGTGGCTTCCACCGCCTCTGCCTTCAAGCAGGCCCACATTCTGCTTTATTTGAAATACTATCAGGGCCGGCCTGGTGGTGTAGTGGTTAAGTTCACGCACTCTACTTCAGTGGCCTGGAGTTCACGGGTTCGGATCCCAGGCGCGGACGTACACCACTCATCAACCATGCTGTGGAGGTGTCCCACATACAAAAATAGAGGAAGACTGGCATGGATGTTAGCTCAGAGACAACCTCCTTCAAGCAAAAAAAGAGGAAGATTGGCAACCGATGTTAGCCCAGGGCCAATCTTCCTCACCAAAAAAAAAAAAAAACATAGCAGGCAGGACTTGGAGGCTACAGGGACAACTGCTCCTCTAGATGATGAAATACTATGATTGCTTCTTAAGCCTGATCCAAAGTCAGCTGAAATCCTTTTGGTTTCATGCCCTGCTGATTTGAATACTCCCTAAATGCACTAAGTATCCAATATATTTAGGGTCACCAGACTTCAGGTTATGTCTTCCTGTCTTCCTGAAGTTTAAAGCAATTCTTCTCTCGCTTCTAGATAACTTTTGCTCATGACCGCTCTCTCCACTCACAGAGGCCTTCCTCGAGCCTTCTCCCAGGCTGTGGGGTGACATCCACCCTGCTCCCTGTCCTCTGTGCCATGGCATCCACCCCAGTTGATGACTGCAAGGTATTTGATCACTTGACTTTTAACTCTCCTCATGGATTGAAGCTCTCTGAGATCAGAGTCCACGTCTGTTTTACTCACTTCCCTAAACCCAGCACTTAAAACAGTCCTTGGTATAAAAGAGGATTCTCACAGATATTTATTTGAATGAATGAAAACAGATTTCACTCCATAAAAATTATTCCTTTTAAATTAATCATCACCTTTCCCAGTAAGATATTCCCAAGTTTGTAAGCTCTGCATCTTTTTTTATTTTCTATATTATATACTACATTATATATGTCTCATATTCCCTTCCTCCCTCAGTCCCTCCCTCCCTTTTGGACTGCAAAGAAGTCCTAGGAAGATACAGTGCTATCTGCATTTGTTAAGGTGCTGAAGGCGGAGTGCCTCCCCTCCCCTCATGGGTTGGGCTGCAGGCTGGGCAGCAGAGAGAAAGGGAGGGAGGAGCGGGTGGGGGGTGGTGCTTGGGAAAAGGTGACTAACTGGGTATTTTCCCTTCCTTTTCTTGCCCAGACTCAGTGGAATTACTGGACGTGCCTCATGTGAAAGGCCAGGTGCCACCATCTCTGGGCCTTTCCCACTGCTTCTTTGCTGTCATTTAATAGCGTCAATCTCAGTTTGAAGGGCCAAGTCCCCTCTTAAGCTATGACAGTGTGGAAGTGTGTGTGTGCACTCATGTGCGTGCATGCACATGTGCAGTCATATGCCTGTATGTGAGTGTGCTCACGTGTGTGGGCGTGTGCATACTCACGTGGGGCAGGGGTAGGGTGACTTAAAGGGAGGAGGCATCTCTCAGAGCACCTTAAATCAAGAGGATCATTCTTTCTTGGGCTTGATTTATTTGGTTAGTTGTAGGGAGAGGCGCTGGAAATAGTCCCAACTGGCATAACTGATCTCCCAGGAGGAGGAAAGTGGGGCTGGAGGGGCCACTTACAGAAGTGTCCAAGGAGACCTGAAGTTGTTTTATTTTCTATTGAAATGTGTGAGGCAGGAAGGTAAGATAGATTTTTATAATTTCCATTGAAGACAGGATGGTCAATGGAAGGCCTGTTGTTGTTGGAATGAATGCAGATGGTGGCAACTTGTCTGGCACCAGGGTGTGGGTGTGGGTGTGGGTGTGTGTGTGTGTGTGTGTGTGTGTGTGTGTGTGTGTCACTTGGTGGAGCTGAGCTTCCGCCCCAAGGCTTGAGCAGTGCTGGAGGTTCTGCTGGCCTCTAAGTTGTCT